TTTTTTTTTTTTTTTGGTAAATTGTAATCAATAATTTTGTAATGCATTACCTACATGTATTTGGTTTGGTAAATTTCAATGGGTAATGTTGTGATGCATTAAAGGTAACATGCATTTTGTTGGGTAGATTCTTATGAGTAGTTTGTGATACCTAATATTTGACGCTTAAATTTAGTGAAGGAACAATTGAGTTACTTGTGTATTTTCTTCACATTTTACCTATTTTTGGAATGATTGAACTTTGGTTAGAATATGGTACGTGATTGCTTTATTTATTTCAAGTAATTTTTAAGTATTTTGACAATAAATATCCTATAAATGGTGCGGTTGGGTATAAGTTCTTTTTTTAAAAAGAAAAAAAACAAAATGTATGGGAAAGTAGAAAAGTTGATTTTAGAAAAAAAGTAGATAAATTTGAGAGTGAATGGATATGAGATAAAAATGTAATGAGTAAAGTCGATTTGATTTTAAAAACAATGAAATATTAATTGATAATACTGGTAGTTAGAAATATGTTACAACAACAACATACCCAGTATATTCCCAACTGGTTGGGGTCTGGGGGTCAGTTGTACGCAGACCTTACCCTTGTAATTATACAAGGAGGCTGTTCCGTGGCGACCCAAGGTGCATTGCGTCGTTTGATATATTTTTTTTTTTAGAAACTTCACGAATAGAAGAAGCACTAGAATTTAATTAAGCCATTTTGATCTAATCCATTATTAGCACTATGTCAGGAGAATTGTCAACAATAACTCTTCCAGCTCCATTTGCAATGGACAACTAGTTAGAAATATGTTAGTGTTTGAATAATGTTTCTTAAGAAATAATAATACATTTTCTTGTTTAATTATGTGAGTGGGATTATATACTAAAAAGTAAGTTGAAATGAGTAGTATTTTTTGTAATTTTTTTTTTTTTAATTTTTCATTTGTTATTTGAATGAGATAAATTTTGGCAATAAACTAAAAACTTTTGCAACCAATTGCAGCCTTTCTAGCTAACAGTTTTATCATTCTTGAAAAATTATTACTTTGGATGTCTTGTATTAAAAGTTGGTCCAAAATTAGAACTTGATGAATACCCCTTCGATATAGTACGCAAGCAAATAAACAAAAGTGAGAAGTGTTTATAAAGAGTGTCTGTAAACATAGTGTTACAAAAGTTCTTGTTTTTGTACAAGTACAACTTAATGGTTACAAAAGTTCTTGTTTTTGTACAAGTACGACTTAATGGCAAAATTATAATCAGAATTATAAATTCCTAGATTCTCTATATTTCATGGATCTGCTTTGTATTTTCCTGTTTGAACAAGAGTGAATGTTTTTCCTTTTTCTGTTAAACCAAATGACAAAGTAGGGGAAAAGGGCAATGAATGAATGGTGGCGATGTTTTGTGTGGTAAATGAATTTTCTTTTAATATTAAATGTCAAATTGGTCGAAGACAAAAGATTCGGCAACATTAAAGAATTAGTCCAAAAAAAGGCAACAGAAAGTACAATTACTATGAAAAACACTCCCATAAAGGGAGACAACAAAACTCCAAATACGGAGAATTATAACCCGGGTGTGTCCGGGACTACCAAAAAACACACAGGAAAATAAAATAAAAACAAAACACAACTACGACAAATATTAGATTTCAACCTCCCAATTCTAGAGGTCCTCCTATAGTTGCTAGTTGTCCTAAGCGCACCCGCCAGTTCTCCGGACATAATGAAACTAGGAAATCTAATGCTCACAAACAACTATTGAATTGTTAGATGTCAATATACAAGGGAAGAATTAGAATCTTATTATATTGAAGTTTTTAATTATAATATAGGTTTTCCATTATAAATATATTAAACACAAGGACTTTTTTAGTCCGTGCAATTTTTTACAAAATTAATCCTCCTTTTATACTAGTATATAAATTGACAGATTATCAATACATACCGTTGGGTTATGTGTCTTGTAAGTTTTTAGAATATATCTGAATGTTATCATTTTCATCTAAAATCCTTACAGAAAATAAAAATGTGCTACGAAGAAAACCTCGAGAGGATGTTTTGCAATTTAAAGGGTGATGCTTATAGAGAAGTAGCTATTTTGAAGAGTAGGTAATTGCCAATAAACCTAGAAAGTCTTTCTAGGAGTTTATGGTGCCTTTATTTCATTCAACCTATAAGCCATCGAGTACCAAAAATCGGTCAAAGAGTTTTAAACGACTTACCACTTTGAATATGTGGACTGAACTTTAGAAGTTTGTTGATAGCATAAAATATTATTTGCAGTTAAGGGACTACAGGCTGTAGTCGGAATTAGGCATTTCACTCTCTGCCTTATAGAAATAACAATGTCAAAAAAATGGCACTGCCTTGGTAAATGTGATTCAGAATTAGTAATCATTTACGAGTTCAGTTCCTTTATTCTAGTAGACTTCGTGGGCTAATTATTTTATTTATTGTTTGCATTGTTCTAAAACAGCTGGAGTTGGCTTTTAGGAATGAGTTTGGGGATTCTACAAGCACTTCCATTGATCAGGTATATGTGAATAATCCCAATCATGTTTTTACTTGTCATTTTCGTGCGATGTTCAGTGATATATTGAAACCTGGATATTCATTAATGGATTGACAAGAGACTTCTGAAACTCTGATAATAGTCCAAATCATTATTTTTTTTCCCTCTCTTTGTAAAACGATGGACAAACCACAATTACACTGTCAAACCAAGTTGCAAAATAGCCTATAATTTTAGTCATCCTTCGAAGAGTTGAAAGCACGAGTTATAACGTAAACCTATGAAAAGGAACTTGAATTTATTGGAGGTAAGGAGCGTGATACAAGATTGGCAATAGTTCCTGTAAAAACACAAGGTTTTTTGAATGGACGAGGTTCCTTTGATATGTACGACGATATATATATATACACATATATTTTCATTAGCTATATGGGCCTGTGATATATGGTGAGAGGTGGCCACTCAACGGGCCGCTCAGGTTTGTCATTTTTTATAAATAAGAACCGGCGCGGCAATAATTACGTGCCGGTGCATTGAACCGGCGGTTCTCGATCCAGGATCGGGCCTGTCGGGCCTTTCTTGTATGTTTAATAGAATTCGAGAGGGGATAAAAAAATTGGACTTGGGCTTGGTTGACATATTATATGTTAGAAAGATATTTTTATTTAAAAAATGATATTTTAACGTATAATATGTCAATTAAGGTGCGTGCGTATGTATTCCTTAACCTGGGATTCAAAATCCTCGTAGTTCGTTATGCTTGCCTTGATGAAAGAATTTTTTAAAGGAGGATTTTTCTTCCTTAAACTATTTAATGCATGGCCCTAAATCCTCTTCCTCTGTCTTCGATTCCGCCGGCTCTTTCAATTTTTTAAATTTGCCCAACCGGTTTAGGACTGAACCAACGGTTCGGCCGTCTTGACCGTTGGATCTCAGTCAAATTTAAAAATCTAACCGTTGAATATAGGCGGGCCAATTCTGGCGGTTTAGGGCCCCACCGGGAATTTGACAAAAAAAAAAAAAAGATATTCAAATAGTTGGAAAATTTTGAATTTTGAAAATTTGAGAATCGGTGCAAGGTCGCCGTGCTAGTTCCAATTCGGAAGCGGCGGTTCGAATTTTAAATGCACGAACTGCAACAGACTCGGATCAAACGACGGGCCGGTTCAAGGCCCATAGTCAGTGCCAGTTCTGAAACCTTTGACACCGCGCCGGTTTGGGCCAGAACTGTGGCCATGTGAATATACGGACCTTGATATACTTAACTCCGCTCTTCAAGCTCAAAAACTGAAAAGTGTCACACCACCAGAATTCGAACGAAATACTCAAATAGGGGTAGAAAATTGAGCATAGATCGTGCGAGCAAAAATCTTGTAAATGGAACACAATTGAGAACGATGTTCCATAAAATAAATTAAGTATATCGAGAATGATCGTTGATAAAAATAACAAAATATTTAATGTCACCTTTTGTACGAAAAGGGGAAAGACCCCGTGCATACATAGAATGGATAATATCAAAATGTCTAGTAAAATATGGGAGTTCAAGTTGCTTTTGGTGCTTGCAACCCTTACAATGAAAACTAGACTCGATAGGTGTACGACCTAAACAACCATCAATAATCAAAGTAGACAATAATCGAAGTAGACAAATGAGACCCACAAAGATGACCTAGACGATGATGCCACATGACAAAGAATAAGGTGGAAGACGATGCAACAAATGACACATGAGCGGTAGAACAACGGAAGAGGGGAAGCGGGAAGATGCAAAGTGCCTAAAATGTTGACTCGGAGAACCACTACGACGATGGCTCGTCCAAATTGCAGTCCCCTTCGACGATTCTATATAAACAAGATGAGTCATCAAATCCAACAAAATGTGAATTGCATAAAGAACCTTATATTTGACAAGATGCACCATTATGAATAGAAGTACCATTAATGACCGTCTTGCAAGCAATCAGCCGAGACTCACACGGAATGATGCCTCTGAATCGAGAACCAAGAGGTAGAAGCAACATATTAACAGATACAAAGATACAAATAACAGACCCTTTTTGTAGCAGGAGTCGTACTATGTGCCCGAGCAGCACGTCATGATACTTTGCAATTTTTCTAGATGTTCTTACAAGAGTATGAAGAGCCTAGGTAAACTAAGCCGTTGAGAAGCTGCCAGGACATTATGCAACGCTGACGGGAGAGCAAGTTACATAGAAAGGAGACGCGTCTCTTTAGGAATTAAATCAGAAAATGCTTGTGCCATGGTTATAGTAAAAGAGTTCTGAAGTAATCATGTACAAATGGACTCAAATTTCGCCCTACCTCCCATGACAAAACGATATATAAAAGTTTATTACTAATTTATGTACTGAACACTCCTCTTCCTTCCGTTTATGGAGGTGCAATGGAGATCAATTAGTCCCATCAAACGATCAAAAGAGCCAAGTAGTTCTCGTCAATAGATATATTGCTATGTTATGAATTTGCGTAAGTGTGTATAATGCACCACTATTGCGAACATAAAGTTGTTGCAGATATGAACACATTAAACTCACTGATTGTTGATGTTGACGGTGGCAGCCATCACTTTCCATCATTAATTTGCCATATCTTGATGTCAGCTAGGGTTGAGCACGAGACTTGAAAATTATGTAACAATTCCGAAAATTGAAATGAATTCATCCGAACTGAGAAATATATGTTTACCGTTTGACTACCTCCGAACCGAACTGTATTGAAATTTTTGTGGTAATGTTATGGAGATTCATAAAATATCAGGAACCGAACAAGAACCAGTTTCAATTCATAAAATCCATATACATATAATATTTTATCTTTTTTTTTGTCATCTTTTTGCATTATTTTATATAAAATTGAATTACAAATTAAATCCATATACATAATATCTATGTCCATAAAACTATCATAAATTATATTTAAAATTGAATTGCGAATAAACATTCACTATTGAATGTTTTTTTTTTTTT